CGTCCGAGCGATCTAGTTTGCCGATCAGAAACTGACAAAAAGTTGCACACTACGTATGCCTTGCATCTCGCGAACAGATAACGGGTTGTGCCCAAACTGTAGCTCGTCTGAGCAGGTTTTTCTTCTTCTTCCTTTTTATTCCTTTTGCTGTTTGTAAAGGTTTTCTTCGTTTTTTTCATTTGTATTCGCATTGTCAATTGCTCTCTTTTGTTTTCCTGTGTTTCTTCACCGACTTTACTTTTTCATTTTCCCCTTTTGCTTTTTTATAAACACTTTTCTATTTTTTCAATAGGCATTGTATATTATTAGTCTACATGTTGATCATTGTTTTGATATACGTTGCACATTTTTTAAGTATACGACACACATTACATTCAAATACATTTTTACTAACAGTTTTTAAATGCATGTAAGCATTTTTCAAATACATGTTTAACACTTTTTAATGGAACTAAGCATTTTTTAAACTACTTAAAAATTAAAAATATGATGAATTTGTATTTCTACACTTATTTATTTTCAATGTTTTTCCAATGGAATAAATCATTTTTTGTATACCACAAATAAATTTTTTACATTTTTTTAAAATGTCACATACATATGTTTGGAACACATGAACATTTCTTTGAATGATGCGAAAAATTGGTTTTGAATTATGAAAACATTTTTTCATATTCTATGAACTTCTTGCTGAATGTCATGAATAGTTTTTAAAATGTTGTGGACATTTCTTTAAAGTTGTGCAGAAATATTTTTTACACTGCATGAAACATTTTTAAACGAGCCATTAATGCTCATTAAGATTTTAATAAAAAAATATTTACATTACGAAAATGTAGATATTAAAGTAATAATAAAGATAATACAGTAATAGAAATACGTGCACTTGACTCAACGCTCCATCCCTTGAGGCTAGTTATAGTGGGAGTAACTTAGGTAGTAACATAACGCACTCCATTTTTTTTTGCTTATGTGGCATATAGTCAATGAGGAGAGAGGTGTTTAGGGCATCTCCAATTGTTTGTATATTAGCTTGTTGATAAAATATGTCATGTCATCGACCAACACCTTAACATACAACAACTACAATGGGTTGTATCTAGTTTGCCGAATAGGATGTGAGATAATAAATAAGGTGCTCTCTCATTCTATTGGAGCTTGTGTAAGGGGTGTTGGTTCATGTACATACAACCTTCCTCTCTTCCCTTATTTATTGTATGACACATCATCAAAAATCCTATGTGGCAAAGTTTACCAACAACTATCTTACAACCATGAAGATGCCCTTAGAGTAACATAATATGCCCTTAGAGTAACATAATATGTTACTGTAACATAGCGTTTTCCGAAAAAATATGAGTCTACAAGCTAATAAATGAAGTCATCTATGACACTACTATTATATTACTTTGCATTATGGAGGTAGTAACTTAGACTAGTGTCATATACATGACACTAGAATAAGTTACTCCCCACTATGACCAGCCTGATAGGCACGTCAAGTGGGGCGCCAGAGTCGAGGGGCTGTTTTGTCTCATTACTAGCCAAAACAAACGCAAATGATATGATTGCAATTTTCATTGGTAGTTTACTAAGTGGACCACTTGGTAAACGTACATGATATGGAAGGGGGGGGGGGCGACGCAAACGCAAATGCAAACACTATGTTGGTATCTGAAATTTTGCTGAAATCAAAAATATTTTGGGCTTGAAAAATAGGTCATGAATTAGAACAAAAGTGCATGAATTTTAAAAAGGTTTTAAAATACGAAAATATTTCATGAATTTGAAAAAAATTTATAACAGAAAAAAGATTACAGACCTGAATCAAAGTTCGTGCATTTGAAGAACGTTCATGAATTGGGAAAAAGTTGCTGAATTTGAAAAGTTTCGCAATTTTTTAGAAAAGTTCACGAACTTGAATAAAATGTTCGTGTATATGAAAACTGTTCAAGAATTTGAAAAAAGTTCACAGTTTTTATTAATTTTTCATCATTTGAAAATTTTCCACTATTCTAGAAAGTTCGCGGAGTTGAACTAAAAGTTCACGCAATTTAAAAACATTGGTTTATTATGGAAAAACTCCGCGCGCTTAAAAAGGTTCTTGAAGTTATACAGAATGTTCATAAATTTGAAAAAGGTTCACGAATCTTGAAAGACATTTGTGATTTTTAAAAATTTCAAGATTTTCTTAAGGAATTTTAAAAATGTATTAAAATATGAATAGGAATAATAAAGAAAAAAATTACAAAAGAGAAACAATAAAGGAAATAAAAAATTCCCACAAAGAAACGACCGAAAGCTTCAAAAATCTTTCCGAAACCGGAAAGTACCCGAAGCTATGTAATTTACATGGGCCGGCATGATAGTTCGAGCGTGTGCGCCGTGTATGCACAGGCCTTTAAACGGTGCTATTTGCGCCCAATAGGAGTTCGCGATCTTCTATTCGGTGCATCAAGCGTCAGGAGGGAAGCTGCCTGCTGCTCACGTGCTGGCCTGGTGGGCCACCCCATGTAAACGTTCACCTTTGAGAACAAAAACCAGAAAATGCAGGATAACATTGCAAAAAGGAAAAAAAATCGTTAATTCAAAAAAGTCGATGGATTTTGAAAAAAACTTCATGAACTTGAAAAAAAAGTTCATCAGTTTCTTAAAAATATCAATGTTTCTGAAAACAGTTCATAAATTTGAAAAAAAATCATCAAATGTTGTAAAAAATATCGAATTTGAAAATTTTCATCAAACTTAAAAAAAGTTCAACGTTTTTTGAAAGAAGGTTCATTTATTTTGAAAAAAGTTCATCCATTTTGTAGTACTTTCTCTAAAATTCATAAATTTTGAAAAAAAGTCCATCAAATTGTGTAAAAGGGTCATATATTTGAAAAGTTCGTCGTTTTATAAAAACCTTCACTGATTGTGGAAAAGTTCATGAAATTTAAGTAGAAAAAACAAAGAGAAAAATAAGAAGAAGAAGAAAAGGGAGAAGTGATTATAACAAATCGTTCTGGTTGGGTGGTTAGTACAGTTTACTGCGGACAAAAGATCCCTGTTTCAACTCTCCACGCACGCGTTTGTATTTCCTTTTTAAACAGAAAAAATAGCTAAGTAGGCTGGGCCAGGTTGGAGGTCTTCAGCCGCCCGTTTGCGAAATGCGCATTAACAGGCACCTAGCGAAAAAGTAGCTAAATGGGCCGGCCCAGGTTTGAGGTCTTCAGGCGCCTAGCGCTCGCTCACTCCTTGACTGACGTGGGCTAAGACTCAGGTAAGCAGCGAGAACTTTTTTTTTCTTTTTTCTTTTCATGTTTCTTTTGTTTCCTGTTTCATTTTAATATTTATATTTTTTGAAGACCACATGTTTCAAAATATTTAAATACCTTTTGAAGTGTTGGAAATTGTTTGCTTTTTCAAAAACTGTTCAGGTTTGAAAAAGGTTCATAGTTTCAAAATATGCCCGCTTTTTGTAGAATATGGTCGGAATTTCAACAATTGTTGACAAAACATAAAAATGCACATTTTACAAATTCGTGTGTGTTTTTCATAAAATGTTTGGAATTTACAATCAAAATTTTCATTAACATTTTTTTTTCAGTTGCATACCTTTTTAAAACCCATGAATTATTTTAAATTTCAAGAATAGTTTTCTAAATTATGGAGTTTTTTGAATTCGTGATTGTTTTGGAATTTGCGAATGTTGTGTGCATTCATGATTATTTTTTGAATTTAGTGATCATTTTTTAATTCATGAACGTTTTTGAATTTGCAGACATTTTGGTTGAATTTTGCAGCATTTTTTTAGATAAAAATCGACTAGAAAAAAGCCTAGGTAGAAAACCAACCAAGAAAAAAATAGAAGTAAAAAAAGAGCCCATGCTCCTGGGCTGGCCCATTAGGGGGAGGTTGTGAGCAGCGGTGACCACGCTCTATGGGCAAAGTCATGAGACCTACCCAAAAGTGTTATTCTCGCCTAGCTTTGTCTCTGGGTGATGTATGCTCTTGGGGAGGAGAGAATAACACTTTTAGGAACAGAGGGAGTAGATGCCATTTCAATGTTGGAGGTTTGTAGCGAACCCATGCGTGCTGCCCGGCCGAGTTCGGCCGCATTACGTTTTCTTTTCTTGAAGATGTGCTTCTGCCACTGCTTCCAGATTTATGCATCGCTTAGTTAGGACTGGTAAAAGAATGCTTGCCTGCACTGCATGAGGACATACACTTTATTACTGATAATTATGCAAGATTTGTTGGCTGTGGTGTGTACTGCAGCTCACCTCGACTGAAGCTGCGGATTCAAGAAGTCCTCTGGTCTTGATAATGCCCTGGACAAGTCCAGGGTCCATTTGATTGTTGCAAGTGTCATCTCCTGGCTGGCAGCTGGCTTGGCTTCGTGGGGAACAGACAGAGTTGCCGGATAAGTTGAAAGGCTCGACAACAAGTCCAGAGCTTATTAGTACAACTGAAGTCCAATCAGGTAAGGAAGCATATATGCATGATGCTTGTATGAAAATCCGAGGTGAAAAACACTTGGATATTTATTAGCTATTCCCATAAAGCAGGAAGCATGTAATGTCATCAGTATGTTTACAAAGGAAAACATAAATAGTGCTCATCCAATTCACCCAGATAAATCTGTGAGCAGCAACCAACACCAGGGCCGTGCCACATTATATCTGAAAGTGCTGAACAGAGCAGGCTAATTATTTTTGACACATTAATAAACAAGTGAACCTGTTGAGGTCTTACAGACTGGGTGATGAGAGGAAACTCCTAATAATGGGAGGGAGAACAGTACGCGCAGGGAAAAGACAGCAGCTTGAATCAATCCAATTGACTCTTGACCTTCAGAATGGGTTGGTTTGTCTTCCCAGCAAACTGGGCTCGCAATCCATCCATAAAACGTTTAGTGGCATGGCTGAGTACGACTTCCTTTAGGCTTGGCAAGGATGGTAGCCCAGAAAACATCGAAGCTTTTTCCATAGGGTCATGCGAATGAAAATCCACATGCAGCAGCTCAATCTTATTGGTCGCTGCCGCGTCTTCAAACTTGACCAATTTGATGCCCCATGGGACATCCAGCGACAACACCTTGAGGCTTGGAAATGCATTCTCTTTGAAGCTGAAACACAGCTCCTGACCCTCGAACGACCCCCTCAGCAGACGTAAGATTGCTAGGTTTGGTAGCTTGCCAAGGACTTGCAGCGTGGTACCAACCTCCTCCCCAGATAAGCAGCTGCTCCGTAGCTCCATCTTCACGAGATTTGTGAGCTTTTCGACCCATGCCGGCAGTTTGACCAAGTTGCCGTACAACTTGAGGCTTTGAAGGTTATTTGGAGGCTCAGACAGGCCATCCAAGAAGTCAGATAGACCAGGATTCCCTTCTGACCGCACAAACAAGGATTCCAGGAATTTGAGATTGGCAATGGCCGAACAGAAGCTTCTGCGATTTTTCTTATTCAGACCAGTCACTCTTAACTTACGCAACTCGGTAAGATCTTGAAGCTCTTTAAGAATGGCATTTTCCCCATCAATATTGACAACACCCACTGTGTGCAGAGACTTGAGGTTCCTGGTTCCTCTTGGGAATTTGACACCAGATGGATCTATCCCCATAAAGTAAGCAGGCACCCCGGCACAACCATCTCTTGCAAGCACCCATAAGAAACGCCCAGGGAGAAACATCAAGTAGCAGAGGCAAACTGGTAACCAAAATGGTGAAAAAAGTAAAAGCAACAGACAGCAGAAGCAGAGGGAGCGGACTCTGATGCAGAGACTGCCGCGACGTATTTGGTAATAGATGGCGTAATGTACATGCAAGAAGATGGCCCTGATGTGCTCGAGGGTTTCATCCAAGAAGTCACGCGCCCACCCTATGCGTTCCATGCAAACCCATTCTCCTGTTTCCTTGTAATCATTCCGTGGTACAAAGCCCACAAGGAGATAACGTAACTTGTCAAGCTTGATAATTGTTCTTGGCAGATTTATTATGCGTACATCTCTTACATCCAGTGTCTGAAGATGCCTCAGATTACCCAGTGAATCTGGCAGGCGCAAGTTTCCATCACATCCTCGCAGAGAAAGGTAGATTAGGTGAACAAGCTTCCCAATCTGATGGAGGTGTTGATCTGTCAGACCCTTTGTGTCTTCCAAGTCCAGTATTCGGAGTAATCTCATCTTATCAGAAATGAAAAATGCCTCCAATCTTCCAAATACTGTTAATGATCTTAAGTGAGACAAATCCAGTGTACTCTCAAATGCATCTTTATCTCTTTTCCACCTGCTGCTTACAGCAAGGTGACGGATTTTGCCTTGGGTGTTTAAATCACATCCTTCATCCAGTGTAAAAACAAGACTTTCCTCTGTTGCCTTTGAGATTGCAATGTCACGGATGAGATCATGGACGTCCAAGAAACCTTTCCTCCCACTTGCAATCCCATCTCCTTGTAATGGTCGGACCATACTCCTATTGATAAGCTCGGTGATGTAGCTGTTCCCGGTTTCAACTGCAGTCTTGTCGCGTATTCGCCTCGAATACCCCTCTGCAATCCAGCGCCTCACCAAACGAGACCATCTGATGCGGTGATCTTCAGGAAAAATGGATAAATACAAGAAGCAAACCTTGAGATAATAAGGTAAACCTTCGTAACTTGAAGCAAGGACTGTCTGTATCATCTCAAACTCTTTATTCATCTCTAGCTCTGCGTTGATGTGTTTGTTCAAATTCCTCCACTCTATAGCAGTTTTAGGTTTGGTTGCCAGGAAGCTACCTATGGTGGATATAGCAAGAGGGAGGCCGTCACACTTCTTCAATATAAGATTTGCTTGCTCAGCCAGGCCCGGAATATGAGCATAACTTTCCCTCTCTTCGATATCCTTGAATACCTGTTATTCATATGATTTAGAAAACCAGGTCAGGCGATATAGCATTTCGAATGCAATTTCTTCTTACTTTGGCCTGCTTATATACAATTCATTATGTAATTGTCATCCATCGCCATGTTAAGTTGTAAACACTAATGAAGTACTCACTACATACAAATACAATTCCTTTTTAAGAGAAGAAATGCTATTTCTTTACAAGCATTTGTTGGCATTTATAGTTTCAAGTATACAATTTTCGCGTGTAGTGTTCTTCACTATCCAACACGGGAAGATGGTTATGTGGCCTAGTTGTCGGAGGAATGTTCGTTTCTACACAGCAGGTTTGGACTTAGGGTTGACACCGTGTGTGATACTTAATATCTGTGTGAGTCCAATGGGTAAGTATGTGTTTGCTGAGATTCAAATTGACCGGCGTCTTGCCGGATGGCACGGGCTCCTCCTCTCTTTAGCGGGTCGAGCCATCCTCATCCGTGCGGCTCTTCGGGCTCTCCCGATCTACGCCATGAGTACGCTTCTTCTTCCAGCAGGAACTCTACAGGAGATTGACAAACGATGCCGGGCATTCTTCTGGTCTGGGCAAGACACTAGAACCGGCGGGCAATGCAAAGTTGCCTGGGATCTCGTCTGTACCCCCTTCTCAAAAGGTGGACTAGGCTTCTCATCCCTCAAGCACTTGAACCTATGCCTCCTTTTGAAACACCTCTCCAAGCTACATGACTCTGGCCTCCCCACCGCTTCTAGCTACATTGTTAACAAGTATGGTTGGTCCCCACATCATGACTTGGAACCCTACAACCCCTCGGCTACTCCGGTTTGGCGTGATATCCTCAAAGGCTTGGAATTCTTCCGAGAAATAACCTTTGTAACCGTAGGCAATGGAACTACCACCTCCTTCTGGCATGACCTTTGGGTCCCCAACACCCACACCTCTCTAGCTGCTACCTTCCCCGCTCTCTTCTCACACTCAACCAGACAGGCCGCCTCTGCCGCTCGGGTGCTTGCTGCCCCGGAACTAAACCTAGACCTAGCTCCTCGTTTATCCCATGTAGCGGAAAATGAACTGGTTGCTATACGTGATCTTTTAGCCTTAGTTAACTTGGATACGCAGGTTCCAGACACAAGGATATGCAGGGGATCGGGCAAAAAGCCTATCCACCAAACTCGCCTACTCGGCGGTCTGGCAAGTCTTATGTATAGGACCAACTAAAAGTATTCGACATGGACTTAAAATTTTGTAGGCTTACAAGGGCCCATTTATAGGACAAGGCCATAAGGGTCTTTATGAAATCTTATCTTAACAACATCATGGCATGCACAATTATCTCTTGACCCACCTAGCTAGGCTCTATAACAATTGCGGTTTCTTATTCCGAGGCTCTCAAAAATATATGTAAAAAATAGTGGAGAATACCAGAAAGTAAGAACCAGGATAAAAATCATCACGCAATTTTTCCATACGAAGACACAAAAAATAAATGAATTTCTCTGTCGTTTTTGCACATGACATGACTAATGACAATTTTAGGTATGTTATCATTCCTTCACCAATCCTAATTTTTTTTCCCCGGGGGAAATCCTTATATGTTTTGAAAGGCCCAAAATGCAAAACTACTTTTCCAAACCGGTATAGGGTTCACTTTGAATTGTTTGCAGAAGTCCAGAGTTTGATTTGGGCGATCTCATATCTTAAGGTTTTAAGTCGGGCCAAGCATAATAGTTTTGGGTTTAAAATGTGATTTCCTTCTTTATCAGGTTACTCTAGTGTGCTTCATAACTCATACATCTCCTTTTTTTAATAACAATTGGAGCTATTTATGACAGTCAAATACTTTCAAGTGCAAATAAGTTAAGAGGCAACACTTTTGCTAGATCTATACAATAATATTACTTTTACAAGTTCGAAAAAGCGTGACTCCAATTATACTAAAAGCAAAAATTTGGAAACATCCAAGTAGTAATGGTCAGAGTTTGAAAATGTCCACTATATGGAGCCCACAAAGACCAACACTGAATGGGGAGTAAATAATATTGTGTCCATGGGACAATATAAAACTATAAAGCTACATATACATTTGCATGAAATTTTTGGCATAGCCATAAAGAAAAATATAATCTCGTTGTTCTAACTGTAGGGTGTGTTTTGATTCGCTAAGAGAAGAGAAGCTTTTGAACAACAAATATTGCGTTAATATGTGTTTTATGTGATATAAAATAAATCGTAGATAAGTATCTGATCTCACGACATAAGGTTTTTGTTGCATAGTAGTTGGTTAAAGTGTACTCTGAATGAATTCTATTTCTTACATTTTGAACGTGCGAGGTACATTCTAGTTTGCATTGATGAAACATGGCAAACTAGAATGTATATGTAGCCTCAGTGAAGCAAAAACTGAACTTGTTTTGTGTTTACTTGTTATACCAAAAACACGTATAGTTTCATGTAATTTACTCTGTAATGCCATATATGATAACATAGGTGAATATGTACAGAACTGCATTTCTCAATAAAATATGTTTAGAAGGTGTCTATATTGAAGCCATCTTGCAAAAAAAAAAAATTCAAAAACTGTTCCCGCAAAAAAAACTGCTTTTACGAAATAAGGATGGATTGTCCACCCATCAGTACAATATTTGTACAAATGTTATGACAAGAAAATATGTACCATCTTAAAAAATTAGCTTAATATAATGCTTCTACTATTTCACATGTAAAATAGAGTACCTTCTTTTCAAATAGGCGGAGAGCATCCTGTTTAGTTAGAAGCTCGAGATTGTATATTTTGCGTTCTTTCTCCGAACAACACATTGCAACATTCAGTTCCCGCGTTGTGACAATGATCCGGTTAGCGGTATTGTCCTTCGATGATGGCAAGAGCTTCCTTATCAATTGCCATTCCATGGTCGATGATAGATCATCAAAAACAATCAGGCATTTGTTTTCCAATAAAATCTTTGCCAAAATGTCAACTGGTTTTTGCTCTTTCTTTGGTTGTGTCTCATTTCCATTGTTACCTTGTTGTGTTTCAGTGACGTGCTTTTCTTTGTCTCCATGAAAATCCACACATAATTGCTGTAACAAATCATTGTAAAATTCTTGATGGTTTAGACGCGGCACCGTTAACCAAGCGCGCCTCTGAAACCTTCCACTGAGTTCTTGTTGGTAGAGACTTGTGACAAGAGTGGTTTTCCCAAGACCACCCATTCCACAAATGCTGATCACCTCGCCATCTTGATCGATGAAATCAATAACTTTAGCTTTTGCTGCCACCCGGTCGATAAGCCGATCTTCCTCCAAAGCGGCTGCCACTACACTGGCACCAGTGGGCTTCTGATCTGCATGCTGCTGTTTCTCACGAGCGGCTTCTTCAGCGCTAGTGATCTCACCATTTGAGCTGGACTCGGCCTTGCCGTCCTCTTTGATTCGAGCCGCCTCTGCCTGAACATAAGTTAAGCCACGTTAGTTAATTTAGGCGAACTACTCTACCTGCTAGATACCTAAATCAAAACAATGATGCACTGATTCGTATATAATTCATATATGGGGCGACAAAGATTACATTCGATTATCTAAATCAAGACGAAGAGGAGATATGTACACTTGTGGTTACCTTGTGGTAGAAGACATATAAGTCCTTATCGAATGACCATATTTGTTTTATCCCTGATATTGTGCAAGGCTGCTCAGTGCACAGCCTTGCAACTTCAAATTGCTGCGTGGACACAATAATCCGCCCCCCATTCAATCTCGGGAAGTATGTTTTGATCCAGTCCCACTCTTCTATGGTAGACACATCAGCAATAACAACCAAGTACCTCTTCTCAGTCACATACCGATTAAACTCATCGACCAAACTATGATCTGGTGCTGCCATCTTCTTCAGAACTGTCAGCCCAGTGGCTGTTCCTCCTCCTTGCATGCTTGCTTTACCAGATTCTTCACATGAATCTTGGTAGAACTGCCTCACCAAGCTGACAAAGAGGTCATTTGGATTGAAGGGATGCATCAGCCTTACCCAGGCTCGGCACTGAAACTTATCTTTCACTTGTTTATTGTCATAGGCAGCTCTGATGATAGATGTGACCCCAACATCGGTGCTTGCTCCCCACACCGCGATTGCTGGCCCAAGGTCATCTCTGGCGATCAGCTCGGCAAGATCCACCTTTTCCTCTTCCAGGTGAAGTGCAGCTCGTGTCTTTGCTTCGGCGACGTGAAGTATCACCTCACTGCTGATGGTGGCAGTGGTAGACAATGGCTGCCCAGATGATTCCTTTATGAGGTGGTACCGGACATTCCTCTGGCTGATGTCCTCCACCTTGGATCTGAGCTCCTTCATTTCCTTGGCCACGAAACGCCGGTCAAGCAGCCTTCGAGGGATACGCCACCACAAGACACCAAAGGAGAGATTAGAAAAGAGGAGCTCAGCTCGAAGTGCGAGCTAAGCACATGAATCTTGGTTTTGCTCTGCTCTAAGCATCTAGAGAGATGGGGAGAGAACTAGTTTATCCAGCAGATTTCATAAATTTTCTTTTTTGACGGGAATTTCATAAATTTTCATTGATAGCGCAGTGCTGCAGAAAAAATTAGTTGGGCCCGGTCTCCAATGGCGCTAAGCACAAGACAGCAAAGGAGAGATTAAGAGGGTACTTGGATACGTTTTAGTCCCATGACTAAAAGTAGTGGGACTAAAACTTGCTAGCCTCACCCATGCTTGGATCCAAATACTAAAGAGACTAAAATGAAGTTATTGAGCATTTATTATCCTCCAAACCATCCAATCCAGAACTCGCATGTGCTAAAGGAGATGAATTAAATGAGGAGAGAGAGGGCTAATACATATTTTAGTAGGTTTCATGTGACTAAAAAGTTTTAGCCTCAAGACTAGTTCTAGTCTCTCTTTAGTCAGGGGTGCTTGGAACTTTAGCCTCTAATCCAAGCAGGCCCTAAGAAAGAGGAGCTTGAAGTGCGAGCTCAGCACGTTCGCAAGTGGACCTTAAATGTTAATTTTCATTGACAGCAGTGCTACTTAGTTTATGGTAAATGTTAGTTTGAATCAAGTATTTGTAGATCGCAAAGTGAGCGGTACAACCACATATTTTGTGACGCTTTGCACTAGATTTTGCGTCAATTTTACGAATTACATGCTTCCAGTGTCAAATTCCAGCTGGTATTGATCCATGCCCGGTTAGAGAGGTAAAAAATGGTGCTTATGACGTCAGTTTGGAAAAAAAAAATCTGGTGCTGATAAAGAAGCTATTTAAAAAAAATGTGACAGAGAAACTCATTAATAATGAGGGAGGTTAGCAACATTTCTAAAAAAAGAATGGGGGAGGTTAGCTAACGATAGAGTAATTCCGGTGAATCTTTTTTCAGTCTTGCTAAGTCGACTGGGATTTTGTTAAGTCTCAGATGATGCTATATCCGTGAGATCTTATATTGATATCCATGCATTTTTTTCTTTTTCTATCTTGCATGTTATGTTACTTGACTGAGATTTGGTTAAATCTCAGTCGTCCCTAGCTACACGCATCTTTTTAATAAGACGGTCTTCCTAACAATTCAAAGTTTTATCAGGAGGCTATGTCCTTCGCCTATTATAGATGTGGAAACACCAGCGATGCCATACGGGGCTGGCAATATTTTTGTTTGCAATGGACTAGAGACAGTTTACATGTTCTCACATGGTCGTTGCTGCGTCATTCGTGAAGCTCAGCAATGGCATTACTTGCTCGAACTAATCACCTCATAGATTACAAACGGTGGCCTGCTAGCTCGGGCAATGATGTTATAACACTCTGCCTACAAAGTTTTTGTTTTCCGTACCAAAGCTTGTGAAGTCGGGTTCCATTATCAAAGGAAATAGGTCCAGCCAGGGAAGCTGACGTTTGAGCCAAGCATGAAGAGATGACTAAACGGTCATGTACAAGACAACTGTTCAGTTACTTGGAACAAACATTAATGTTTCGCAGTGAGCTTCTAAGCTAACTGTTTGGAAGAAACTTTTCAATCCAACAAGGTGTATATCGAAAACAAGAAATGATTTCGCGATGTGCACTAGATTTTTTTTTTCAAAAAGGGGGACTCCCCGGCCTCTGCATCAGAATGATGCATACGACCATCTTATTAACCACCAAAACAGTATCAACATGGTTCCAAGGTCTCCAAACAAAATGAAAACAAAGAAAGCTCACACAGAGCCATAAAGGCTAGAAACATGGACTAGCCAAGATAAGATGCCACAACCGGCTGGCTATAAATAGATAGATAAACTAGATGCCTATCCTATTACATGATCGCCATCCAAACCGGTTGAAGATATCCCGAGCTACCATCTCCCAGCGGAAAGATCCAGTAACCAAATGCTCCCTGGCCTCCGTCTGAGTGAGTAGCGACCACGAACGGATCAGAGCCGTAGTGCAGAATATAACCTGCAAAAAATGAATACATGATATTCTGTTAAAGACCAAATCATTTCTGCAAGTCCAGATAGTCCACAGTAAAGCGCAAACCCCAACCCGAATGTGTTTCGCTAAGTCAGGCGGAATCCCATTCAGCCATGTCCCAAATAACGCGTTAACAGAATTCGGTGGTTTGATATTAAAAGCAATGTGAACCGTCTGCCAAATGACTTTGGCCAACGGGCAATCAAAAAAGAGGTGTTTTATAGTCTCATCCCGATCATAGAAACTACACCTAGTAGACCCTGTCCAATTACGCTTTTTCAAATTGTTCTTGGTTAAAATAACTTATTTATGGACAAACCACATAAACACTTTTATTTTCAAAGGTACTTTGACATCCCAAACATGCTTGGATGTAGGAATGGAGTTCGAATTAATAACATCAATGTACATTGATTTAACCGTGAATACTCCAGACTTAGTCAACTTCCAGCGTAATTCATCGGGTTGTTGGGTAAGTTGGACCTCTGTCAGTCTCCTAACTAGACGGAGCCACTCCTCCCAACGATTGCCCGCTAGCGTCCGTCGGAACTGAATATTAAGGGGGATAGACTGAAATACCGAAGCTACGAACACCTCATGTCGTTGAACAATACGATATAAAGACGGGTATTGGACGACCAAGGGTATCTCGCCGAGCCAAGTATCCTCCCAGAAACGCGTGCTAGTGCCGTTGGCAATAACAAACTTCGTCCTATTGAACATAGATTGTTTGACTTTCATCAGTCCTTTCCAGAAATGTGAATCAGTCGGCCTGACTGTAACCTGGGACAAAGTTTTTGTCTGAAGGTACTTGCTGCGTAGGATTTGAGCCCACATGGCATCATTCTCCGAAGAGAGCTTCCACAGCCACTTGCTAAGAAGGCATCTGTTTTTAACTTCGAGGTTCTCTATACCAAGACCCCCTTGGTCTTTCGGTCTACAGATGATATCCCATTTAGCAAGTCAGTATTTTCTTTTAAGCTCATCACTCTGCCAAAAGAACCGCGATCGATAGAAGTCCAGTCTCTTCCGAACACCAACTGGGACCTCAAAAAACGATAGGAGAAACATAGGCATACTCGTGAGCACCGAATTAATCAGGATTAATCGGCCTTCGTATGACATGAGTTTACCCTTCTAGCAACTCAGTTTCTTCTCAAATCGGTCCTCGATGCACTTCCATTCTCGGTTTGTTAACCTACGATGGTGGATTGGAATACCTAGGTAAGAAAAAGGTAATTCTCCCAACTCACACCCGAACAATTGCATATACGCCTCTTGTTCGTCTTTGGCTCTACCAAAACAGAACAGCCCGCTCTTATTAAAGTTAATCTTTAACCCGGTCAATTGTTCAAATAGGCATAACACCAACTTCATGTTTCTCGCCTTGGCCAAGTCATGATCCATAAAGATGATTGTATCATCAGCGTACTAAAGTATGGACACACCTCCATCAACAAGATGAGGTACCAATCCATCTATTTGACCATTTTCCTTAGCCCTTCCTATCAGAATTGCTAACATACCCACCACAATGTTAAACATGATAGGTGACATCGGATCTCCTTGTCGTAGGCCTTTATGTGTCTGGAAATAATGACCTATATCGTCATTCACTTTAATTCCCACACTACCTTTTTGCGTAAATGATTCAACCTGTCTGAGCCAGGCTTCATCAAAACCTTTCATACGCAATGACTGTTGGAGAAATGGCCATTTGATCTTATCGTACGCTTTCTCGAAATCCACTTTAAAAATTACTCCATCTAATTTTTTGGAATGGATTTCATGGAGCGTTTCATGCAGGACTACCACCCCTTCAAGGATATTTCTGTCCGGCGTGAAAGCAGTTTGGGACTTTTGCACCACAGAGTGCGCAATCTGTGTGAGCCTATTAGTCCCGACTTTGGTGAAGATTTTGAAACTAACATTGAGGAGGCATATCGGTCTGAATTGCTCGATCCTCATAGCATCCGTTTTCTTAGGAAGCAATGTGATAATTCCAAAATTCAAGTGGAATAAGTGAAGCTGTCCCGAGAACAGATCATTGAACATAGGTAGCAAATCCCCCTTAATAATATGCCAGCACTTTTTATAGAACTCGGTCGGGAATCCATCTGGTCCGGAAGCCTTATTGTTTTTCATCTGTGCAATAGCATCAAACACCTCCTTCTCAGAGAACGGTGCAACCAGAATATCATTTTCAGCAGCCGATAACTGAGGCACATCCTCAGTCCTAGACTCGTCGAGGGACACACAATTATCCTCCGGTGGTCCAAATAACTGCTTGTAATACTCGGTAATATATGCTTTTAGGTTATCCTGACCTAAAATCGTGCCCTCATCTTGTTCAAGTTGAAAAATACGTTTCTTTCGGTGCTTTCCATTAGCTATTAGATGAAAGAATTGAGTGTTCGCGTCCCCTTGGACCACTTTGCGGACTTTAGCACGTAAAGCCCACTTCAATTCTTCTTCGCGGAGCAGTTCTTTCAACCTCGTCTCCGCCTCAGTTTTAACCTGTAGCTCAGCTGGCAACAAGATCAAAGATTCGGCCTTGATATCTAGGGCATGTATAAGAGAAAGGAGTCTATTCTTTTCAATCTTATAGACACCACTGAGGTGCTTAGCCCAACCCCGTAAAAAGCTTCTCAAGTGCCGAATCTTATTCTGCCAACGCTCGATCGCAGTCTTACCTCCTGCGCCTCTATCCCATTCCCTGGCAATCAGGTCAAAAAACCCCTCTCGTTCAAACCAAGACATCTCAAAAGAGAAGGTGTTTTTGTTACCCACGTGGTTCGGCTCCCCAGAATCCACGAATAAGGGCGTGTGATCGGATATTCCCCTCGAGAAAGCTTGCACCGTAACCAGAGGGAACTTTTGTTCCCACTCCACG